TGCAGCCAGACTGAGATGACGCGTTCTGCTCATGCGCTCTTGTTATCAGAGAATCGAGCCAGGGAAAAACCGAGCCAAACCAGCCTCTGGAACTGGTGTCTAGCTCGGTTCAGTTCAGTTTGCTTTCCATTTACACACGATAAGTTATCTCAGTTACTGAGCTTGGACCGGTCTCGGCACGGTTTTTCAAGGGTAGTGTAAATGGCGTATGTGTCTCCTTGAACCCCAGTCGGCCTCAGCAGATGGCCGCTCACACTGAACCTGGTTCTGCTGGAGGTTTCTTTCTGTTAAAAGGGAGTTTTCTTCTCCACTGTTGCTACATGCATGCTTGGTGTAAGGGATTGCTCTCGAGCCGATGCAATCAACTGGTTTTCCTTAAACAGAAAACCTTTAATCAATTTGACTGAATCTGGTTGAACTGTCTGTCACTATAAATAAACTGAATTGAATAAAGCACACCATGTCAATATTCATGATTGTCATCAAGTGTGTTGATGTGATGTCATCTCTTCAGCTTGGTTAATGATTCACATTTGAACAGTGGTTTGAAATGTAAATGATCAAAGTAAAATGGGAGGTTCGGCTGTGATCACTTGCATTTATAAAAACCCATTTACCATTTGGGAGCAATTATTGGGCAATTTGTATTTCTGACCATATGATCCTTTGTAATGCATGTTTTCCCATCTCCAAGCTGCATAAACTTGAATACTTATTGGATGTAAGAGCCTAAGGAGATCGACATGCTTTATAAAAGGTGTGCATTGCTGTCAGGCAACTTTTTTCCTCAGGCAAAATGGGGCAAAAGACATTTAGGTGATGGAAAAGTCCAAAAACTGCAAAAAGAAGAAAGCAGCCCTCTTGAAATTGCTTGAACTTTTGCTAAAAATGGGGTCTGTTACAGGGTCAGAAAAAAAAGGAAACGATGCAAATTAACTGCTGCAGAAAAATCTAACTTCAAGCTACCAGGGGCCCATTATCCTCCAGATCTGACATATTCCAGAACTGCAACCTACTAGGAATGCTTAAAGACATGGCTGAAACTATACCACCACTAAACTGGACAAAAGCTGAAACTCAAGACTTGCAACAGTTTTTCCTCTCCACTGTCGCTACAAGCATGCTTAGTGTGAGGGATTGCATTCGAGTCAATGAGTCGATGCAATCAACTGGTTTTCCTTATAGGAAACTTTGAATCAATTTGACTGGATGATCTGGTTGAACTGTAAAGTGCCTTGAGATGACATGTGTTGTGAATTGGTGCTATATAAATAGACTGAATTGAACAAAGAATATCAGAAACAGATTTTTTTAAAGGCTTTACGAACTGATGATAGAGTGACTCCTGCTGGACCAGATGCACGGGCCAGTGGTTGGATCTTAATGAGCACAGAGCTCCACTTCATATCATACCCCACCAAGGTGGAGATGGAGTACTGCTATGGGGTGGGAATATTAAATATGGACCTTTTCTGGGTAAGGATATACCAAAGCTCTATTAAGCCTACTGACTATTTTAAGAAGACATTTATTCAAAAAGTGGTAGAGGAAGAAGAAGATGTCTTCATCTTTCAAGGAGGCCACCATTTTCATGTAGAATGATGCTTCATCATGTACATCGAAATATTCCCCTGTAAGGATGGCCACAACATGCCTTAAACATGAAAGAATAATGATGCAGCCCTTTGAGAACATGTGGGTCCTTAAATATGAGATATGTGGTGAAGGAAAACAGTCTAAATCTCTGATCAGAAGCCTGGGGGCTGTGGTTGCTACTGCTATTTATTCCAATAAAGGCTGTAGTGCTCCTGATGGCTGCAACGTTTTATGTATCTGCCGCCATCTAGTGGCGATGCAAAGGAACTACTTGAAAACTGGCTCAACAACCACCCTGGGATGTAGTTTAAACGTACATATCATCTCACAAATGTATCCAAAAAAGTGGAAAAAGCAGTACTTTTAATAATAAAGCTTTGGAAAATATAATTTTTTTCATAAAAACGTAGATTTTCTGTATAGAAATTTGTTCTATTGAAAAATGAACATAATCTTGAAGATTCATACAAATGATGCAAAACACATATTTATTATCACTTACATTTTCAAAATAATATTTAAAAATTATAGATATAATGTTAAATGCGTTTAAACTTTTTAAAAAAACTTTAATTTATTAATTTTATTTATCTATCCATCCATAGTCTCCTGTTTAATCTGTTGGATTCGCCTCATGGCTGGTGCTTATCTACAGCAGTTTATGGGCGAAAAGGCAGGGACCAATAAATGTATGATTGATTAAATAAATTTAACACATTTGTTGAATCTATTTAATCTATAAACCAAAGTCAGTGAATTGATCCTCCAGTTAGCTTGTTGTGCAGGTCAACAAACCAGTAACACTTTAGTGATCGGTGTCTCTCTTAACACCAGTTCTAAATTTAAAATCAATAAATAAATAGGGAAACAACAGAATTTATAAAACACATAGGATTGTGATATTTTAATTATAATATGCTTTTAACAAATAAAATTATGTTTATACTACAAAAGCAGTGGGAATATTAATAGACCTTTTACAATTTCTTATATATCAATATCTATAACAACTGAATCATTGTATTTATATGTTTTTTGTCAATGCAATACATTTTCTATCAATATTTACTCATGTTACTCTTTAAAAGCACTTGGTTGAAGGTCAAAACTGTAAACTGGAGCAAAGGTTTGGGGTGGGAAACAGTTCCCACAGCTCAATATTTCCAAGCAAAAAGAAAATTGTCAAAGTTTACAAATAAACCGAACTCCTAAGGTTTTTACTCCTGCAGCAGGACAACCTTAGAAATAAGGAAATATTACCTACCAGCGGTGATTATCTGGACTGACCATGGGTATTTGGTCATCAAGGCCTGATAGGATCTCCATAGGCCCGCCATCCTCCTTAGATACAAAGAAAATAGTTAGAAAAAGGCAGAAAAATATTGATTTTTCAAAGAAACAGCCCAAACTAAGGCAAACAACGTGATCCAAATGAACTGAAGCTGCTAATAAGCTCCGTTATGCTCCCATTAGAGCCTGATTACTGACCATACCATGTGGCAACTACTTAAATTTATACTCAGCCTTGTTAATTATGAGAAAATAAAAATGTTTAAAAAAATTAAACAGAGTAATATTAAGCCTTTACTATTAATTTATACAGATCAACTCATTGGAGCACAAAATTACCATATTTTTCACTTTTTAGTCCATTTCAGCAACGCCGAGTCAAAGATTATAGTCGCATTAAGATAAAATAATACAAATCTAGTCTTTAACTAAAATACATTTTCAAAATTTCCGAATTACATGTAAAAGCTCAAACTTCCTGAATGGGGATTGGCGTGACATAATGTTTGGAGATTCGGAAGTTTTAAAGTCTGTATTTAACACTTTTTCTTTTAAATGCTTTACTTAAGCACTGAGCGCATGTCTTTAAGAACAACAGCTTAGTTTTTCCGCTACGTGTGTCAATCAATTTAGGCATAAAGAGCAGTAAATACTAAATGTGTTTGCATACCTGTTATGAGTGCGCCCGGCTGAATCCACGAGCTACCGATGCCTTCACGCCCCTGATATCAGCTCGGACTCTTAAGCTACAAGAATAACCTACTAATTTTATTTTATTTGGTCTGTCTCTCAATTTTAATAAGACAGATGCTCTCGCAGATTTTTGTTTTTGTTTAAGAGAGAAAAACAACATTGCTCTCGATCCTATGGGTGAATCTGTGAATATTTTTTCTGGGACATTTTCAGTTTAGAGTAAAAATTATATTAATTAAACATTAAAAAACTATATGTATGTTACCTTCACGTGTATCAATTCCATCTTATATAAGATGGATAGTTTTGGTTATATTTAAATTGACCGATTCTCCTATTAAAAACGATAAATTCAAAGCCCCTTCTGATTTCCAATCGTACCTGAAGGTAGCATTAGAACTGCGTAGGTTCCGCTGTAAACAATAAAGCTTGGCCTTTGCTGCCCTCTAGTGGACAGTCACTGGATGCCGCATAAGGAACGTTCAGACTGAATATTTGCAGTTTGATGTGTTTATTTATTCTGTATAATGAATAAAGTCGGTATCCATTTATGACATTTAATACAGCCGTTTAAGCTAAAAAATGACCAGAATATATAACTTTAATCTTCTTGATGCCTAAAGTGAATACTGGCAGCAGTGTTTTCTGTGACATTATGGCATGAGGTAAGAGATGTTTATTAAAGTAACAGCTGAAAACTCTTTCAAGTAAATGTATATGACCATTTTCTGACTTTAAATGTTTGCATATGCTTGGTAAAAGCGTGATGAAAAATATCTGTAACTAAACACAATGAACTTAGGAAAGGTCAGGCTTAAAACTTTGACAGCAGGTCAAATGACATTTAAACGTACATGTATTGAATACATTTCTGTAATAAAACTGAAAACATTTGATTCATACAAGTAAAAGATGCATGATATGCAACATTGAATCCCTTGTAAACAACATAAATAAAAACAAAACATAAAAGTTTGCTTAACAGCAGCAAGGACAGGTCCCTTTAAGGGCCAGTTACGACCTGAGCCTATAACAGATTATACCCGACCAAATCCCAGAGAAAAATGGAATTCATCAGAGGTTTAACAAAAATAAAACCAAAGCAACGAATATCGAGCTCTTTTCGGTCACAACGATAACATTTGTGGAGTAGAAAAAACAAATTTTTTGACCTTTTTATTCCATCGTCAGTTATTCCTTTTCAAGTAGCTGTGATTAATTTCCCTTTGGGTAAAAGTTGCCTGAGGTAAGAACATTTACAACTTTGTCTGCAGAGAATCGACTAAACTGAGCCGGAAAGCTTCAACCTAACCAACATCATATGGCCCTGCTGACAACGCACTCATGTCCTGAATTCAGATGGAAACATGGTGGACGATTATCTTCACAGATGTAAAATGTTGCTTAATATTCTTAATATAGTGCAAAATATAGATTAACATAAAGTGTTGTTAAATCCAATCGAGGCTAAGCAGAGATCTGGTTTAAATTAAATTAATTTATATACAACATGTGTCTCAATTTGATGTAAATTGACAGTAAATAAAATAAACTTAAAAGCATCACAGGAGAAATTATAGACAAGATAAAAATAAACTCCTAGATTGCCTTAGTTTGAATTGTGGAAAAGGTTCAGAGCTGGCAGTAACCGCGCCCATTTATCTCTGATCCCTTTTTAAACGCAGCTGTAACCTTATGCACATAAAACCTTCTTTTGGGATTAAAACCGTTCTGTGGGATCCAACAGGAACAGGTTTAGAGCGTCTCTGCTGCTAGAGTCGAGCAGAGCAGGAATCTGTTTTTGTTGGTTGCTGCTTCCACAGCGAAGCGCTCCTGTAACATTATGCCGTTTGTTCCCTCTTTAGAAATCCATCCCTTCATCGCTTTCACAGACATCTGATGGAGCATCAGTCCCGAAGTAGCGATCCCCAAAGTTACCTGGGAAAAAGAGCAAAGATGACTTCATTAAAGACATGATTTCCCCCAATTTGATAAAAAAACAAAAAAAAACAGACGTCTTGACTTGACCTAAAAGAGGATATAATACCCTGTGCATTAACCCTGTTAAACAAGACACTTCAGCTGTTATTCATATATATGGACGCACTGTATATATTAGGGGTGGAACAGTTCACAAAATCCACGGTTCGGTTCGGTTCACGGTTTCGTGGTCACGGTTTTCGGTATATTTTGATTGTTACACTTGAAAAAAATCGAAATCTAGATAAGTTGTTTTTTCTTAAAATAAGTGTATTTGTTCTTGGATTTAATTCAATTCAATTCAATTCAGTTTATTTATATAGCGCCAAATTCACAACACATGTCATCTCAAGGCACTTTACACTTCAACCAGATCATACAGTCAAATGATACAAAGTTTTCTATCTAAGGAAAACCAGTTGATTGCATCGACTCATTGACTCAAATACAATCCCTCACATTAAGCATGCTTGTAGCGACAGTGGAGAGGAAAAACTCCCTTTTAACAGGAAGTAACCTCCAGCAGAACCAGGCTCAGTGTGAGCGGCCATCTGCCGAGGCCGACTGGGGTTCAAGGAGACAGAAGCAGAGATACAAAAAGCAGCTCTAAAAGGCGGCCCCGTCCTGGAAACACACAGCAAGGCAGACGAGCTCCAAGCCAGCTCCCATGCCAGAGGACGAAGAGAGCACATCCACTCAGTCACGGTCAGAAGGTAGTAGGTAAAGTAGTAGTAGGTAAAAGAGAGATTTTGCCAATGGAACAAGACAATTTACACTTACAATAAGAAAACACAATTGCATTGTCTTATTTCAGGTGCATTTTATCTCATTTTCTTATTTTAAAAGCAAAAATACTCATTCCATTGGCAAACTATCTCATTTACCTACTCAAATTAAGCGTAAATACGCTTAATTTGAGACATTTCTACTTATTTTTAGATCCTTTTTCCAGTGTACCCCGAAATCCCATAAAAATTAATGAAATCAATGAAAAAAATCCCCAAAAAATTATGAATTGTAATTATTTTTAATGATCCGAGGAAACCATGGATAATTTCTGCATGTTTTGCTGCTTTGAATTTAATCATCTCGCGCATGCTCTCTACCATCTCCAAGGAACTCAGAGCGGAGGGGACGGGAGCCACAGCGGAGGCTGTAGGCTTTGCTTTGAGCAGGCGGTCTGGAGCGCAGCGGGGCGGAGCGCTGACAGAGTATGAGGGATTTCGGGGTTAGCATGACATGTTGGTCATGTTGCTGTTAGCATAAACAAAACATGTTGCACAATGCTTCCACACTGTTGCACTTTTATCCACCACTTTCTTTCCGCCGTCATCGTAGGTCACTCTAAATGCAAAGTGTTCCCATACAGCAGACCTATAAAGTGCTGCTGGCGCGTCTTCCAACTCCTGTTCTTTCCCACTCGCCATACCCACACAATTCTCCACAACAACTGATTTTTTTCTGCTACACCCGGCTACGCTGCTTCGCTTCTTCTTCTTCTTGTTTACTACTGGTGGTTGGCTTTGGTCGCAGTACCGCCACCTTCTGCTCTGGAGTGTAAACGCTTCCTCTATGAGAAAAAGGAGCAGCGCATGAACCGAACGAAACACACGCGAACCAAACCGAGACAGTCGAACCGAACGGTTCCGATGGTTTTAATAAACCGTTCCATCCCTAGTATATACCCAATGCACCTTTTCCTCTTTTTGGCACCTTTTGTTGACTATTGAACCAATGCGATAAGTGAAATTTTCCATTGTGAGATCAATAAAGTCTATCTTATCTAATGTAATCTGACCTCCTGTTTGTATTGAAATCAGTTGGATTTGTTTCAACTGAACTTGAATCAGAATCCATTTAATTTAACAAACATCGGTAGGATAAATAAGTTAAATTAATTAAGAAATGAAATAAAGAAATGGAAGAAATTGAACTTTGTTGATCTCATAATGGAGAAATCAACTCTGTGCATTAATTTTCTGCCATTATGCGGCGCCTGGGGAGCAGTGTTGGGTTAAGGGTTTTGCCCAGAGAGCCAGAATGGAGGCTATGGCGATCGAATCGGGTACTTGGAGCCTTCTTAGTAAACAAGCACACTCCTTCCTCTACCCACTAGGCCAACACTCCTAGAGAACTTACCTACAATCTAGGCATGTACAATGACTCTGACGTGATTTGAACCCGCAACCTTCTGATCTGGAGTCAGATGCGCTACCGTTGCACCACAGTCTTTTTAGGCAGTATTAGTTTGGGTCTGATTTGTGGAAACGTTGAATTGAGCCTAAGTAGAAAAAGATTCCCACTCCTCACCGATTCCTGGAATGATGTGGAACTGGTCGTTCACCTCCTTATCCACAGCGGTGGTGATGATGCGGACTTTGGGGAAAGCGTAGGCAACAGAGTGGACGCCCATTTCTGCCATGAGCAGCGAGAGCAGGAAGATCTTATCCTCGGCCACATCGTGGTCCTTCACATTGGGAACAAGAAAAGGAAAAAAAAAACAAAACAATTAAATTCCTTTGAGGATCAATACAGGGAAAAAGCAAAAGATGATCGAAAGGGCGAAATTAAAATATAATAATACATTCTCTATGTTTTAATTACTTTAATAAAAGGCAAGTCTTTATAGTTTGGAATTTCACATAAATTCGAAAAAATTTCTATGAGGAAAAAATGGGAATACTATTTCAGCAAAAAGTTCAAGTACTGATCTAGAAGAATATAAAACAAAGTTCAAATGAATGAATTCTACTTAGTAAGCTTTACACTGACCCACTCTGCAGGAGCTTTTAGTTTAAAAAACTGTAACAAAATGAAAAGTTAAAAAGATCCAAAGTTAAAAGGTTTGGCCATCGTTGGGCTCACATTTCAATTTATAATCTATTTATCTGTGTCTGAAGGGACTTTGTTTAAAACAGAAAATAATCTGTTTTAGAAGTTTGAGGACAATAAGATCCAGATTAGAATTTACTTCCACAAAGGGGTAAATAAGCCGATAAACGGACTAAAACTGGACCCACCAGCAGAACTCTGACGGCCATGAGAGCAGCGGCCCCAGTGGAGACGGTGCTGTCCATCAGGATGACGTAATCTTCGCTGATCTCCTTCGGCAGACGAAGGTAGTGAAGCTGAAGGAAGAGGTCGGTCGTTAAAGCGTTAAACATGCAGGCATTAAGATGCTCCTGCTGTAAACCAATCAAACCTCAGGTTCTCCTGTGTCATGGTTGGTCTGAATGAGGATCTTTCCAAGCCGGATGTCTTTACAGACGGCAGTCAGGGCCTGCTCCATGGTCTCCCCGGCTCTCAGGATAGAAACCCCCGTGATCTTAAAGAGAAAAAAAAGTTAGTTCAAAATGTTTCAAACATTTACAGAGATCATTATCCAGCTTAAACATCTGCTTCTAGAGCAATAGGGGCTGAGCTGAAGGGCTGTCATTCACAACACTCCCACTAGAGGGCAACCTGTGGGGGTTTTTGGCCCTTTAATGCCACAAGATAAACAACTTGATGAAAAAATAAACCATATGAGTTTCTACTAGAGGTGAGTATTGGCATGAGTGTTGCGATTCGATACATGTTGCGATACTTTGGTCACGATACGATATTATCACGATATTGCAGTATCACTATATATTGCCATATTTTCCCCAGCTATCAAAATCTAATGATGAGATAAAACAGCAAGTGCTGTATATTTTCATCAGAAAATATTGATTAGGTATTATTATCCATGTTGTTTGGGGTTTTCTTCCACTGTGACTGCCTCAAATACAGATTTGGTGCTGCACGCACAGTTAAAGGGCTCCACAGCGCTTTCTGCCAGAGTGGTGGTGCAGAGGTAGCCAATTTTCCTATCAATGTTTTATGTAACCGTTTTTTTTTTTTATCGATACTAAGAAGTGAAAGATCGATATTATATTGGGCAGCCGAATATCACGATATATCACCAAAACGATTATTTCCCACACCCCTAGTTTCTACACCATCATTTGTCTTTGAGATCAATAAATACCTATAATTCAGGGTTACTTTTACCAGCTGAACATGTAAATAAAAAAAAAGACTTAAAAAAAAAGACTAATAACTGTCTTTTATCAAGGTTCAGGATAAAAATCTACAACTTAGAAATCGATATAGGAGATTAACTCATATATAATTGAAAAAAATATAAATACATTTGTATCGTCAGTAATTCAAAGACTCCACCCAAAGCTCCGGTCGTTGCAAAGATCGTGTAATATAAATATGCCGTTAATTATAAATAATGACTGTATTTTGTTACATTTTTAGGGGATTGTCTGAACTCATTTATTTATTCAGGTCCCTAACTCAGACCCCTGCAGGGCACCACAGACTGTGTCCAGACATTTAAATCTGCCTAAACAGGGAGGTAGCCTAATGGATAGTGCATAGAGCTCAGAATCCTGACGTTCTGGGTTCGAGCCACCGGGGTTACCCTCAGGGTCCTTGAGCCAGACCCTATACCCATAATGCTCACCTGTCACCGGCCCATTAGCTGGCAGCCTTCCAAAAAAAAAAAAGCTATGTAAAAACTAAAATGCTTGATTGCAAGCTATTAAAAGTGTTCCCTAGTGTTTAGGGAATAGGGCTTTGAATCCTGAGATTGTGAGTTCGATCCCCCACTCCTTCAGACTACCACTTCAGCTCCTTAGACCCATAACCTCACAATGCTCCCCGGGCGCCTCACAACAGAGGGGAGCAGTGGGCTGCCATTTCCTCTGGGAAAACACATCAGCTACAAAAAAAGGAAACTCCCTTTTTCCAGGAGAAGAAACGGTTTATAGAATAAAACAAATGTAATCTTCCAAATAGTAAGTTTAAACAAATCATCATTGAACTTTAGTGGAGTCCTACCAATTATAATAGAAAACAAAAACATATTTTACTTTTCTTAACTCAAATTTCTCCACCTCTTTAGTCCATTTTTATGGAGAAAGAATCCAACTTCTTTTTTAATTTAGCAATGACTAAAACCTGTGTTCAGATGGAGCTCATTGTCAGATGATGGATATTTTTCTTTTTGAAAATAACCTTAAAGGTATAGTGGAGGATTTTTTGTGAATTTTTGAAAATACCAACCCTCTCAATTTTAAAGAGAGGAAACGCCTATTGTGTGCAAAAGCGTGCATGAGCCTATTTCTCATTGTGCACGCTCTTTTTAAAAGTTGCTGTTTGAATTGCTCATACAAGCTTTCTTTCCAAAAGAAGATTTGCAACTTTTAAGTGAAAATGGGGACGAGCACATAGGATGGCCTTACACACTGCAAAAAATCTTAATAAGTAAACTTTTCTTATAATAAGTGCATTTTTTCTTGAATTGAGGAGGTAAGTGAGACACTTTGTCAATGGAACAAAACAATTTACATTTAAAATAAGAAAACACAATTGCATTTTCTTATTTCAAGTGAATTTTATCTAATTATCTTATTTTAAGAGTAAAAATACTCATTACATTGGCAGCTCCTCTTACTTACCTACTCAAATTAAGGGTAAATACACTTAATTTAAGAAATCTTTACTTATTTCTAGATTGTTTTTGCAGTGCAAATACATATCAGCATAATGATTGACAATTAGAAGGACCACTTATTTTGAAGATCCACCCAGAAAAGAACATCCTCCACTATACGTTTAAATTAGGCAGTAAAAGACCACATTTATCTTTCTAAAGTCTCTGTTGGTTTGATGTAAGATTCTATTCTTCAATGTCTTGTTTTTCATTAATAGAAATTAACAACAATTAACAAAACCCACCGGTCTGTGTGTAAATAATCTGCATCATGCATTTAACTCTTTGAATTGACTTACTAAAATAAATACTCCAGTAATGTTCTGATTTATTGAGTACGACTTAGATCAGGGTTCCTACAGCATAAGGCAAGTTAAATTCAAGACTTTTTAAAGCCACTTGAAAAAAAAATTTAAGACCAAATTAACAAGAAAAACCTGCTTGCGAGAACTTAACCCAAAGGTTTATTTTAACATAAACCACTGCACTAATGTTTCAAATTTTGAAAAGCTTCCCATACAGGAAGAAAGCTAAAAACACAAATGACAGATTTATTTTAACAATTATTTAACTGAATTCACAAACTTTGTTTTAGCAGGGAACAAAATAAATCTGTTTTAAAGCCACAACATAACCAGTGCTAAGTCTTTTTTGCAGCTATTTTTCTTTGTATGGTTTTCTTAGTCTGTTTGATTTGGTGATAAGTGGAGGCGTTGCAGAGACAAGGGTGGAACTAAACTGAGAAATACTGGCTGTTTCTCTGTAACTCCATATTGACGCTTTGTGTTTCGTGCTTCGCATGTGCGACTCCACCGCCTTAATTCCCATCGTTCCGAGCTTGAATGACTTCTTGCACAAAATCCACTGAGCCTCATGTATGTTCCCTGGTTTTAGCCATGGAGAAAACTCTTGGCTGGAGACAATTTTGGTTACATTTACACTTGCTCATATTTTCCAGACAAAAAGTTAATGGAGCATCTCCCAAATGTCCCGGCCACAACAACGTTTTATTGGTTCCGCTATCGGGACGGAACCGATAATGGCGAGCCGTTATTTTTTCGAAATAAAAAAAAGGTCAATTTTTACGGAAGAGGATTAGGGCCACTGAAAAAAAAAAAAAAAGTTAACTGATTTTTAAATTTTATTTCAGTTTAACATGGGAAAAAAGTCAGAATTCTGACTTTTTTCTCAGAATTCTGAGATTAAAGTCAGAATTCTGACTTTTTTCTCAGAATTCTGATTTTTTTTCTCAGAATTCTGACTAAATTCTGACAATAAAAAAGTCAGAATTCCGAGATTAAAGTCAGAATTCTGAGAAAAAAGTCAGAATTCTGACTTTTTTCCCATACTATACTGAAATAAAATAAAAAAAAAATCAGTTAACTTTTTTTTTTCAGTGGCCCTAATCCTCTTCCGTAAATTTTAATGTTTTATTTATATTACAAAAATAAATCACAATAAAAATTATCCTATTTTTGATGTTTTAAAAATTAAGACCTACGCAAGACTGATTTAAGACATTTTAATACCAATTAAGGACTTTGTTTTATTATGAAGAATTCAATGCCTTTTAAGACTTTTTAAGGACCAGCGGGAACCCTGTTAGATGTTTTTGTAGCTGTGAGAATATTTCTCTGCTGCTGATTAGATGGAGGACGAATAAAAGGAAGGACAAGGACCGTACGACTATATATGGAGGCTGTAGTGCAGGGCGATACGGTCCTGGTCTACTATCAAATAAAGGCACCAAGTGCCAAACAAACAACAAAAATAAGTGATGAGTGAAGACAACGAAAGTTTGAGAAACAGCATGGACATTTTTTATCCTCCATCTTCTCTCCTTTATTAATCCAACATGGTGCGTTCTAATATCTGCATGGATCAGAAATGTGGTAAGACTCTACATGCAGAATTGATGCTTACTCTTTTACCGCTCAGCCTCTTCCCCTCATAGATGGTGCCTTGAGGCGTCTCCACTGAAACGGGCTGGAATAAAAAAACAAAAAAACAAAAAAGGAAACAAAAGTGAGAATAAAATCAGGTTCAAGTTGAAGCCAAATGTCACATTTTTTTAGTTAAGATTAGGAGAGCTGCCTCTGTGACCACAGGAGCCTTGGAAGGAAGGTCAGTTAATGTTGATGCTGAAAAGCCTCACCTTGAGGGGCAGGAAGGAGAGGGCGTGCTCTATCAGCAGCCTCATTAATCTCTTGGAGTAGAAGATAAACTCGTCTCTGTTGGTCTCCTTGTTCCTACATGATCAGAAAAATGGCATAACTGAGACCTACGCTTAAAATCAGCTCCTGTAACCCTCTGCATCTTGCATCATTCTCAATAGGACTAGTTTTCAGAAGAAAAACATTGCATCACTGGTCTTTTATGTAAAATGTGCGGCGGCGGGTTCTGACCTGATGATGGTGTGCATGCCGCGGACCTGAGGCGTGCTCTCCAGGACGCTGAGGGTTTTGGGTAAAGGCTGACCCTGATGAGCCGAGGCTAGAGCCGATCTGAGAGAAAAAAAAGGGGGAAAAAATGACGATTATTCAGTTTTATCAACTAAAACTTTTATCTACATCCCAGACGGACAAATGGAAGATGAGACAGAAAGATTGGAGATACAATCTGCCTTCTCAGTTTTGCCAAACCTTTCCAGACACTGAAAATAATGAAACCAAATATGATAATTTTCTAGAAGGAAATGTTAAAACTTACATAAAAAAGTGTTTTTAGTTAGACTTTTTTATTTTTTTTTTTAAATAACATGGTGTCAAATTTCATTGACGTAAACTGCGGGGATAAAAGATGGTTGTAGATATGGATCATAAAGCCGAAACTAGAAATGTATAAAAAGTAAGAAGAGCAAATCCATAATATCAAAAGTTTAGGGTAACATTGACTGTTTTACTCTCCTAACAAACAAAACTATTAAACAGCATCATTAAAATACTTTGGGATTCATTAAGAACTGCTATTTTATGGGGTACAACCAGAAGCAACACAATAAGATCTCTAAGTTTGGGAAGTTTTACAACTTTATGACCTGAACGGGCTAATGAACAATCATTTTATATGAAAAGATTGTAAAAGTCTGCTGAAGGTTTCTTTAAAGCTGCATAAGAATGTTGCCATAAGAAAGGTGGAAAAACATGGAAGAGCTTATTTTCTCACAAGTCTGAAGCTTCTTCTATATATGCTGCAGATTTTCCTGCAACTTCTACATTCTAAGTGAAATTCTAGTGAAGTTCAAGAGTTTTTGAAATCCTGCTATGATCATCTGATAAGCATATCTCTTCCTGGTTTCACATTCCTCCATATAGAGAGAAGGTTTTGTCTGCTAGACTTAAGTAAAAACATGAGATAAACAAGAAAAGAAAAGGTTAAAAACAGGTTAGATCATTTGTTCCCATATATTTCAGCCTTTTTAGACACACACATAAAATCGGCACCTTTTCATTTCATAGTACATTCATTCTTTATACAATATATTGTGACCCCAATTTAAATTACATATTTATTTATAAAAACAATTCAATTGGGGATTTATTTTAAATAGCAGTAAATTAACCTTTTAAATGAAGTTTAATTCAAAGGTTTAAATGTATTTTTTTTAAATAATATAATGGGCCATTTTATTATTTAATTGTGCACACAGGTTGGGCGATTGGATTAATCCATCGACGACAGACTCGGATCTTCAACAATGTTTTTTTTTTTTTTTTAAGACCAATTTTCTCTTTTGACGCAGCCCATGACAAAAAAATAAACAAAAAAAAAACTCAATGTAGTTTTTAATGGTAAACACAAGCTCCTTCCAGCTGCAGCTTTCTTTCCACAGTGAAGTTGTGCAGCAGCATTTTATCAACTTAAGCTTAAGATGGAAAGAAGGGACTAATCCAAACCAGAGACTAGATGTTTCAAATTAAATATTGGCTCTCCATCTACCTGAGGGATCACATGATCATCTCGACCCCTACTTTAGGAACACCTGGCCAGGATCTTACTAAACTGTTGCAGTAGCATATGAAAAAGCATGTTGGTTGGATTTGTGATGCTGTGGACCCGTTTCTCCACCATCACCTTAACTTCTGATAACTTTCATTTTTAATTTCCTGCATTCAATCAGCTGCTTGTAATAGACAGAGCAGTGGTTTTAAGACAAAACCTATTCAATTGTGCTCTAATTAACATGCAAAACCAAATTTACAATTTTGCAAATTGTCAAACGCATGCTGGGTGTGGCAAAGCATCCAACAAAGCTCTGCTTCGGTTCCTGCTGCACACACAAGTGCTACCTTTCTGCAAGAAATAAGTCATGCATTTGTTTTAAAGCCTTAAAATGCAAACTATGCAGAAAAGGTTTGCCAGCCATGACTGGATATCACATCATGGAACCTAAGCAAAATATTCAAAGCAAGCATGTCACCTGGATTTACAGATAAAACATGCAGCAGATATCTTAGCAGGTTAGTAAGCCAGAAGTGCATGAAAACACAGAAACTGTGCTTTTTTTTCTTTAATCTAACAGAAGATGCAGAATTCGGGCCTCACATATCCCAGCGAAGCTTCCTCTGCAGGACACCCAGAGAAACAGAGAGAACAGGGGAGAGAAAGAACATTTTGAGTAGTGAAACAGATCTGACAGATCACCGCTCTGCAACACTGATCAAATACTTTCTGGCTCTGCGCTGATTTGATGCAACAGCTGGTCAATTCAACTTAGCAGCTTTCACTTAGGGTTCTTAGTGCAATTCTGCATTACATACCTGAGGAGCAGCCAGAGCTCCGGCACATTTGAACAATTTAATCTGAGATTTATGTCACCATTAATTAACAGGAATCAGATTAATTTTAGAGATAACTTTGAGAGTTACCTCTCCAATGTTTTGAGTATTTTATGTTTGTCAACTAACTGTTGGAGCAGGCGGCAGCTTTTCACCTGCTTTTACTTTCAATTGTTCAGGAATTTTATCAAGAACATCCAACCTTACATGTCATGAATAGGCAGCGTCAGTGTGGGGCTGATTGTAGGAAGTGGATGTATGCAAACATGGCTGCAGGAAACTCACTTTTCATGCAGGTGAAGATACTGAAACAAATCCTGGAATTTAAACAGAGATAATGCCTAACGGAAAGTGCTCATGAGAGGCAGCAGCAATAAAAATAAACCTACAATAAACCTGAAAAGGGCAGATTTTTTTTTTTATGTGGCTTTTCAGGAGTATATAGCCACTTTTAAGGGAGACATTTATGAAAAAAAGTTTTCAAATTCGAACTACAGCCATCCTTAAACAAGTTTTTTGTTAGCTGATGTAGTGCTAAAATAAAATCTGCATTTTATTTTTTACGTTTTATTTTTTTATTTGCATGACTCACTTTACAATATGCAATATAACGAAGGTTATATTTTCCTCATATTATGCAATATAATAAACTATAAATTGCAGCCTTGAGGTCTTCTTTTTTATTCTTTTGGCAACAATATAAGAGAGCAGCAGCCTCACTAAGTTTAACGGTCTAAAATGCATCACAGGAAATAAAAGCAGCACAACTTTTGGCTGAGACCTGATGCTGTGCAGTGAACATTTAAAAGAATAATGACTGAATAATGACCGACCTTCACATCGGGGCAATTTTAGTTGAATTAGACCAAATAAAAACAGAAAGAGTTCTAAAAACCTGAGTTTATTGTTCTTTAAAAGCTGAACCAGTCTGCCCAACAATAATCTAAGGTTATAGTTTATCACGTCTATTTGGCTCTACACCAAAATAATTATGAATCTAGAAGTCACTTTAACCTCTAACCTATTTCTGCAAAACTAAGGCTAAAAACAATTGGATTAATCGTTATTAATCGATGGTTGAAATGATCGTCAACTAAATTAGCAATCGATTCATTGTTAACTGAGGAATGGAGGTTCTAAAACGCCCTCTTTAGGTCACAGAGCAGTAATTATACCAAAATGTAAAAAAAAAAAATACTTATATCTATATATATATATATAAGTATTTTGCATTTAAAATAAAATATTCTTCATCTGTCAATATGCTCTGTCCAGAACCAAGAGTTGGTTTTAACCATGCTAGCCACTCTAATAGCTAATGCTAAAGGCAGTTTACAATGTCCAGCTATTTTTATATTAATTTTAAAATAGAAAAAAAAGGCTTTCTTATCTTATGGATATGAAAATTTTTAATTAACTTTAATATCAACATATTTATTAAACCAATTACCCAGTTTAGAAATGCAATACATCTAATCCACTTTAGGAAAGTCAAAACCCCTGACTAGAAACATTTTCATCCATCCCTGGTTATAAATCAGCGTTTCCAGTTTAGTCCGGTTTAAACTGGAAAGCTGCAGTGTCGGGATACAGATGTTACGTTGGGCACCGCTGTCGTAATTTGACAACATGTGTTGATTTAATTATCATCCGCTTCTCATGCAGGAAGATTGTCAGTAATAAAGAACCACAAGGTTTCTACCAGTTGTACATTAATAGCTTCTAGTAACTTGCCAGAGGTTTCAAGTAACAAAGCAAAAATATTTTGTTACCTTACTGGAAGAGAAATTTTTCTTTTCCCCCCCAGCTTTTATTATCATTACACTGTTACAGAGGAACGACATGAACTCTCTGCATTTAACCCATCCCCTTGGGGAGCAGCGGGCTGCCTTTGTGCAGCGCCCGGGGGAGCAACTTTCTACTCCTTAAATTTTAAAGATAGACTTTTTAGTTTGTTTCATTAAAACTAATTTTCTTCACGGCCCGTTAGTATTAAAAAGAAATAAAAACCATCAAAATAATTTTTGATTTATCCAGAATATTTGTTGTTCACAACATACCAAAATAAATAATTTTTCAGAATGATGCCAAGTTAAATTAGACATGGTCACCATTAGTTATAAAACTAAGAAAATTAAGTAGCCTATAAATGTCATGGTCTTGTTTCTATTGTGCTTTACTTTGCTCCATGTTTCCTAGTTTTATTGGTTTTATTCCTTTTTTGTTGTAATTTCTAGTTCTATTTCATCCTTACTGACCGCCAGAGGCGGTGCTTCAAGCACTGAATGATCATTCATGCGCATGCGCAGGTCGAGTATTAATGACAACAAAGTCAGCTGTGACCTGCCGGGGACCCACGTGACTCTATATAGTCACGTGGCACCCGGCAATCAATCCCTTTTGTTCTTCTCGCGCGCAGGTGTGTTGAGAACAGGAGTGTGGTCGTGTGAAGCTGGTTGCTTCTGTGTATACCACTAGTTTCCTGGCTGCTTGTTGCTGGTAGCCCCGTGACCGGGTTTGGTCGGAGCTGCGGGTAAGTCTCGCCCTCCAGGGGCTGCACAAGCTGCTTTCACCTTACCAGATCTGCGGTGACTGGTAAGTTTTCGTTCTTTTCTCAGCAGTAGTTTACTGTTCGCTTTGATTTGCCACGTTAATTTTGTGGCTCTTTTGACTCACGGTAGCGTTTCTGCTCGCGCTGAGTTGTTTTCAGTTTGTTTGCCTAAGCCCACCAGTAGCGTTTCTGCTCGCGTTGGGTTCTTCTATAGTTTGTTTATCTACACTCACCAGTGGCGTTTCTGCTCGCGCTGAGTTGTTTTCAGTTTGTTTGCCTAAGCCCACCAGTAGCGTTTCTGCTCGCGTTGGGTTCTTCTATAGTTTGTTTATCTGCACTCACCAGTGGCGTTTCTGCTCGCGCTGAGTTGTTTTCAGTTTGTTTGCCTAAGCCCACCAGTAGCGTTTCTGCTCGCGTTGGGTTCTTCTATAGTTTGTTTATCTACACTCACCAGTGGCGTTTCTGCTCGCGCTGAGTTGTTTTCAGTTTGTTTGCCTAAGCCCACCAGTAGCGTTTCTGCTCGCGTTGGGTTCTTCTATAGTTTGTTTATCTGCACTCACCAGTGGCGTCTCTGCTCGTGCTGAGTTCATTAGTTAATAATCGATTTGCTAGTGGCGTTTCTGCTCACGCTGAGTTTGGGACCTCTACGGGGGTTTTCCTACAACGGAGTCGCCAGTAGCGTTTCCTGCTCGTGTTGACTTGTCCTTGGTAGCGGGCTGATCACGCCTTTCAGCAGTATGATGCTGGATGATTTATGTTGCTCGACCTGTCTGGCTCCACTTCTGCCCGATGACGGGCATGACTTGTGTCCCTCCTGCCTCGGTGTTGAACATCTCCGGGAGGCGCTGTCAGATGACGCTTGCCCCAACTGTCGCGTCATGCCCCGGTCGGTCAGACTGGATCGGTTGGCTGCACTGGAGCAGCCTACCGACTGGGCGGGCGCTTCGCCGCATGCTCGTTTGCCGATGGAGAAAGCGGTGTGCAAACGATCTACTGTGGCTGCACCTTCAGTACAGACAAAGCGTGCTAGACGGACCGATGCAGGGAGGTTGTCCACGAGAGTGGATCATCTCACTACTGAGCTGGCCCAAATGAAAGCCCTCCTCCAGTCCTTTCAGACTGCTGGTGATCGTGGCACGGCTCTCCCTACCGAAAAGGATGAAACGTCAGTCAATGACGACGATGCTGTTTCTGTGGCGGCCTCTGGCACCCATTTCTGTGAGGACCTTCCGGAGCTGGGCTCCGGGGCCTCTGGGTCGGACTCCATTGCCTCCCAGGAGGATACGGGGGAGTCTGTGACATCCGCTATTCGAACGGCTCGTGCCCGTTTACAAATTAGTGTTCCTCAGGCCCAGCCTGCGGCTTCCAGCGCCTTCTTTAGGCGCAGTAGGTCAGAGACTGCCTTTGTGGTTCCTCCCTCGGCGGAGTATGTGCGGGAACTGCATGCTTGCTGGTCAGACACCAAGGCGTTTTCACGTCTGACGACGGATGGCAGGGTCCTGGCAGCTATGCAGGAGGCACCCAAGGTTGGCTTGGGGCAGATGCCAGCGGTGGAACCGGGCATTGCCTCTCTTATAATCCCGCCTGATGAGGCCTTGCGGCCCAATGCCCGTTGTCCGCGTCCTCAGTGCCGTATTACCGACGATCTTCTCTGCAAGGCCTATGACTCTGGGGCCCGCATGGGCCGGATTGGGAACTCTCTCTCCCATCTTATGCTGGCCCTGTCTTCCTCCTTGGAATCTGTTCCGCTGGATCATGCCACGCAAGGCCTGGTTGATGCATCTCTGCAGGCCTTTGCTCTTATGACGAGGGAACTTGGACGCACACTCTCCACACTGGTTCATGCTCGCCGCCAGGTCTGGTTGGCGCAGTCACCACTAACTGAGCCTTGTAGGAGGACCCTCCGGGCCCTGCCTGTGGTCCCGGGGGAGCTTTTTGGTTCTGCGGCACTGGACGCCTTGGACAGTACAGCTCAGGCCTCTAGAACGAGGCAACAGCTGGCAGGGCTTCACAGACGTGATCGCCAGCCAGTAAGCACCTGGGCAGCTGCGGGTCCTTCACGGAGGTCCTTGGTGCCTTCTCCTTCTCCCACTGAGCCCCAGGGTCTGTTATCAGGTCAGAGATCAGTCCAGAGACCTGCTCTAGATCGGAGGAACAGAGCTCGAGACCAGGCTGGGACAAGGTCCTTTCATCCCTTTCGAGCCGCGCAGTCTGGCCGGCGTCCTCCCGGGCTTTC